AAGTAATCTCATAGGCACACGTAGTACATCAAAGAAAAACACAGTTCTTCTAAGCAGAAAGAATATTGGTAATGTCACTGAGAAGAGCCTGGGCAAATTCAAAGAGCATGTGGTATGTTTCTGGATGAAGGTTGTAACACAGTGGCCATAAATCTAACCAGGGGATGGGAGGGAAACCACCCTTCGGTGCCTATCACATGGTTGGGCACTCGTTTTCTAGCTCTCAAGCCGAAGGGGCATTCCTCCTGCAGTACAGCTTCCCTGCTCAGATTCAGCCCTGTATATGACTGAAGTGATGGAATAATTATCAGAATTATAAAGTTGAGAAAGCTGAATCTTACTCATGCTGTGTGAAAAGAACTTAATGAGGTTGTAAAAGCATTCAGAAGTAACAGAAGTGTTGCCTGTGTAACCTTAATTTGGATTTCTTGTGCACATACATTTTCAGGCAATCATGGTTTGGTCAACAGTCTCTAGAGTCATTATTTTATATAATGTGTAGATTGAGGGTGTTCAGTTTTAAAGCAGTTATTTGGCATTTTGTGTATTCCTTGTTATTTGTCATGTGCAGCCCCTTATTTTATTTATCATATGCCATTTGAACATTTTTCTAAAGATGAAGGGGCTCTTTTAAGGTGCTTTTTAGTGTAGTGTCTGAGTATCCACAGTTATCAGAAACTATGTTTTCAAACTCATTTGTGCATGTATTGTGTCCATTTTACAGATGGAAAGCTGAGGTACAGCAATAGTAAGGCCAAAAATAGCTGCTGGTTTTTGACATGCAGTTTGAGTTGTTGGTAACCTAAATTTTAAGATATCCCTGCAGCAAACTATAGGTTCAAAGCCCACATTTGCATGCATTACATCTTTGCAAGTCAGATGCTAAGCTCTAAAGAAAATTAGAAGATCTTATTGGTGTCTGGCTTGCTAAAAATGTTGGTTAAAGCAGTCACCTAATATCTTGCAGGTTGTAGGGAGTGTGGTACACCAGGGGCTTCAATCATGCTTCGTATAGTTCCTTTTGTTACAGAAGTCTTTCAACTTCTTTGAAAAATGACAGAAGGCAGCTTGCTTTAATGCAAAATTCAGATTCATCCCTAGAGCAGACCTCTTATAAGCACTAAATTAATGAAGCGTTTCTAGAGAAAAAATAGTATGTGGTTATGTTATCAAGAACTTGTTACGTACGTGTTGCTATGTACATTCACAATGACAGTAGTGACTGCTGGGCTGTTTGCTTGCTCTCCATTTGCTGATTTGAACCCAGAACTAGGCAACACGCAGTAGGCTGAGCTGAGCTGCTGAGCAGGGAGGAATCTTTGGCCTGTTAGCTGAAAAAAATCTCTGTCAGGCATATGCAAACAGTGATTTTGAGGAGTCTTATAAATTATCCAGATTTGAGAGCATTTCTCTTAGAAACAGCAAAATGCACAACCTTAATGTGAAGATTATAGCTTGCTGAATTTCAAGGTTCTTCTCCTGTTCCTCTTGGGATCCAGGGTTTTCTCAAAGAAAAGGTTGCCAGAACTTGTCAAAACAGGGCATTTTTCTCTTAGCCTCAGTCTCCCAGCTAGCTGAACTGCATTTGCTGACATTTTCTTTTAAAGAAATCAACCTGAGGCTGACACCCAACATGAAAAAAGAAGCAGATTTTGCCAATGATATAAGTAGCTAAATGTGTTTTTTAAAAGGGAAGTGATGTCAGGCATTAGCAAGCAGTGGTGCTAACTTGACCTGTCACAAACTCTGTAGGATGCATGAAAAAGAGAAAAGTAAATAGAAAGATAAAACGGAAATGAAAGTTGAATCTTAGCCAGTATATTAAAAGCCTATATTAAGTCCCTTAGGTACAGTTTGACAATTAATATTGTTTTGATGAGGGGTAGGAGGAACAAGAACAAAAATTACAGTAAGAATTTGCTGCAGACTCCCAAGAATGGGTTTTCAATTTCAAGGTGGTGCACATCTAATTTTACCAGATTTGTTTGTCATATATTTGCTAGTTTAAAGGAGAAATGAATATGAATCATCAATAATTTTTTTCAAAATTATAAATAAGGCATCTTCATTATCCAAAAATTATATTAACTCATCTGATAGCAACTGTACTATCTAGACTTGGGGAAAGAGGGATGAAAAGGTGGAAACAGTAAGTACTGAAAGATAAAAGATTTAGCTGCATAAAAAAGTTAAACCAACTCTGGACAATGCACTAAAATAAGCACAGAACAATGATCTTCATTGCCAAAAGGCTGGCTGATACGGTCTGTTTTGTTGGAGTTTTCCATTTTTACTATGTATTTTCAAAAGGTTGGTACGAAACATTGTTTCAAGCAGGAATCAGTTTCTCTAATAGTCCTTAGAAAAATGCCATACAGGAAAGAAAGAGGTTTTGGATAGTCCTGTTTTTTCAATACAGACGTATTGAATATTAGCAGAAATCTGGGGGTATGAAAGCCCCCAAATTTAGAAAACATCTTGAGCACTTACCATAAGAGAAAAAAAGTCCAGACAAATATAGTGATGACTCTGAAAGGTCAGTAGTGGAGGTGTCAAAGTAATCTTCTATATATCTTACAAGATGGCCGTGACTGTTCCCAGAACCCACTAATAATCCACTGGTGAGTGAGGTGTGATGAGTGTGAAACACCACAGAGAAGCCATAATAGAAAGGAAACATGATCGTAGTAATTTTTGCCTGAAAACTTCAGCTGTAGTGAACATGTTTATATTTTGTGAATCAGCTAAACTATTTCAGAATTTAGAAAATGTGAATCTTGTTATAGTGAAAAATGAGCATGAAATGAAGTACCAAAAATCAAAATAGAATAAAATGACCAAAAAAAAAGAGAAACAGAACTAAACATTGATCTTGGTCCGCAGGGTCTTAGGGTAAACTCAGAAAAGTGATGGTGAAGTATTAATTGACATGAATGTCATACATTAAAAGTCCATGTTGCTTGTGAAAGTACCCAGTATATCTCATTTTGGATCTGGCTTATGATTTTTTTTTTCCTTTTTTAAAGTGTCTTTTAATGAGGGCATGTTATCTTTTCTAAAACCTCATCACATTTAATATTATTTATGTTTTTATCTGTGTTCAAGGTTCTCAGTCTTAACACTGTTATACAAGGTATATTCCCATGTGGTACATAACATTTGAATAACAGCTTTTAGCATCAATGAAATCCCCTATCACATTAGACAGTGAAAAATACAGAAAGTATAAGTGACTAGTGCTTCAGAGATCATTCTTAAATGAATATGGGCAGCCTATAAGGTATGATATTATAATAATTGCTTAGATATTAAATTTTGTTATTAAATCACTTGTGTGTAGATTACCTGGAAATGTTGCAAAGAACATATTTATTTGTAGTTATTGTATTCAATGGTGGAAAGTGCAGCACTGTAATAAAATCTTGCCCTCTGAAATATGTTTATATTGTCACTGAGCTGGCTTACTAATGTGATTTTCTACCTTTTGCAAAATGAAGGTAACGCTTGCTGCAGTTGCTATGATACAAGACTAGTGCACTGAACTTTCTGGTGCATCAGCACACATTTTGTACCATGCAGTTCACTGTCACTGCTGTTATGATTTTCTAAAGCCTTCCATGAGGAAGTGGACAAGTGAATTTTATCTCCCGAAACACCACGTGTAACATAAGGATTCACAGATATTTTCCTTGTTTGCTCTGAATGACGAGTAGCAATAGTACTGAGCTTTAGCCCAACTGTGGGATTGAATTTTAGATTTTTTTGTAAAAGGCGGCTTATGACGGCTACAGCAAAATAAGGATATTATGTACTCTGTCTTGTGTTTTGAATTTTACCAGCATGCATAAACATGTCACCTAGCTTTGTGTTTCCAGAAGTTATGTGTCTAGAACAGGCTTTATTAACCCTCTCCTCTCTAGGAGAGGGAAAGACATAAAGAGGCACCTTCAATAAACTGTTCATCCCACAAACCTGAGACATTTTAAGCCAGGATGAATTACATCCTAGAGGAGCCTGCTTCTTTGCACTGGTTAGAGAGGGCATGTAGACAGATAGCTGAAATGAGATGCCTAACATTTATATAGGCAAAACTATAGGAGATGAATGCCTCTGCAAGTGATAAGGTGAATATTTTTCAAACTCTGTGGCCTGGGAATAATCCAAAACAAGACTAACAGGTAGAGATGCAGCAAAACTGGGAGTATACTGCTGTATATGGCAATAAGCTGAGAGTCATAATGTAACACCATGGAGAAACAATTGTGTAAAGAAAGGTCTGGGAAACACAGATCAACCTCCCTTCTGTGCAAAAGCAAGGCTTTTGTGAGAGTAGATAATTGACATTTCTATAAGAGTATCCTTTCTCTCTTTTGCATCCTCTGCCTCAATCTCGCAAAGCGGAAGAGTTGACAGCCTGTGTTTCTTGAGAGATGTATAGTGTGTTCTCTGTCAGCTCTGGTGACTGTATTGTCAGGGAATCGTATTCTGATGACATTGCACCCACTAGACAAAGGCTGAAGACAAGAAAATAAAACTTTTGGAAATACTGGCTTGCCGCTGACAGTTGGTAGGCTGCAAAAGAAATACTCCTTTTATTTTTCTGTAGCCTGGAAATCCATCAGGTGTTCTCCAAGCTATTAATAATGTTTTGGCTAGCAACACCAGGTAGGTTTAATGGATTTCCCTGCCAGTGTACTGAATGTGATTGCAATGAAGCATGAAACAACCTGTTTTAATGACTTACACTAGTGCTTCCTTAGACCTGATGTTAATTTTTTAAAAGGCACCTGGGTCTTTCATTAGTTGAACAAGCAGCCACTTGACAGCGAGTGAATAATTAATTAAAAAGTCTGAAAACTAATATTCATTGTACATTAGGAAATATTACTGAAAATTTTCCAGTAAACCTCTTGAAGAATAAGTAATCGCATCTATTGATTTTGAGATGCTTTCTGCCTATTGACATGCAGTATGTAAAGTATGTGCTCCTTTCCCTGCAGCTGGGATGACAGCAGCTCAGTTAGTAGTGGCCTCAGTGACACTCTTGACAACCTCAGCACGGATGATTTGAACACCACCTCATCTGTCAGCTCTTATTCCAATATAACTGCCTCTTCAAGGAAGAACACTCATGCCCAGGTGAGTAGCTTTTCATTGGCATTTGTTGAAACACCCCACAAGCATGCAGGATAACAAAGAAAAAAGTTCAGTATCAATGCTTCTGAAACAAATGAAATATACATATTTTACAAACTCCTCTATCACACCCGCATGCAAGAAGCCCATGGACCCCACTGACCCAACCCTGACCCATGGGCTGACGCCTCAGATGCCCTGCTCCCAGGGCACATCCCACTGCTGAAGGTGCTGGCTGGCAAGACCCTGCTCTGCCCGCACTGGGGGAGCCACCAGTGGTCCCAGCCCCAGGAAGCCCTCAGCCCCTGCTGCACCCTAACACAAAAAAACACAATATGATTGGATCTGTGGTGGGTGGATCTCTACTCATTTCATCCCATTTGGAGTATCTCTTTCACCAGATAGTACAATTTAAAATAAGATAGTTTTCGTCTTTCATGAGCTGACACATATCAGGGAAGAAATACATAGGCTGTACTGTCCTTTCCCTGTTCTCTCCACTGGGAGAAAAGAGGCTGAAGAAAGGAGCCCACAGGTGGCAGAGCTTCTCTTCTCCCCAGTTAGGTTCAGGAATGAATGGGTCCCGTGGGCCCACAAGCTGACAATGCATAGTGTCAAAATAGAGTTCTGAGCAGCATACAGCCACAAGCTATATATGTAATACATATATATGTGTGTGTATGTATATATACATATATAAAGCCCCTGTGCCAGGTATCCCAGTATTTCTTCCCAGATTCCCTCAAAATTGCAAGTAATGAAAAAGGCAATATAGAACGCTTACAGGACTTGGTTCCCCCCAAAAAAGAAAGAAAACCAGAAGAGTTAGTCCCAGTAGAAAAGTATTCTCTGCCATGTCATCTCCTGTTTACAAGTAGGAACTTCAAGACTGAACACTCAGCATAGGGGAAGAGTTGTTGCCTCCAGTGATTTGATGTCAAGTACTCAGGACACAAGACTGACATTCCCAATTCCATTTAGACTCCCGCAGGCAGCCAGTGCCTGCAATTCAGAGATCTGTTTTGTAGATGTACATTGTGGCAGATTTTGTCAAGAGGAGAAAACCACATATTTGTCATTTCCTCCAGACAATGGGGAAATAAAGTTACTTTGGGAATGAAGATTACTTTAATCTACAGCAGGACAGATTTCAGACTGATGTTGTACTCATGCAAAGATACTTGCACAGATGCCAGCTTTCTTCAGCCCTTACCATTGCCTTTCCCACCCCATCAGGGTCTCCCATGATTGCTAACTGGAGATCAGCCCCTTCCCTTTCACATCAGCTGTGATGGCCAGCTAGTCCTGGCTTACTTGTTCCACTGCATCATCATCATCATCATCATCATCATGACTGGGAAATCTCAGGCTGACTATTTAACTCTTTGCGGGTTTTTTCATTCGAGTGATCTCATGTTCTAGCTGCTCGACCAGATACTATTTGCAATTTCTTCAGTGACAGACAGAGATGCAGCTGTGTTCAAATGTTGCTTTCCTGCCAGAGTTGCTTTATGTTATGAAGGCTAGGAACAGACCTTTATCAGGTCTGCCTTTACCAGGCAGATTAATCAGAACACACTGTACTCCATGCTAGCCTCTAATCTCAGTCAGAAGCTGAGATGAGCAGAATATATAAGTATTTTTGCCAGCTGTTCTGCAGGTGTAAGACATACTCATGCAACACAGAGATCCCTTTTGCAGTCTTTTTAAGTGATTGGAGCTATGCAAGCTGGCTATAACCTGAGGCAGAAATTGCATATTTTGTTGTTGTTTGCTTATTAAAAGCAGATTAACATCGCTTTTTGGATCCCATAATGATGAAGAGAGGCTTTTAGAAAGTATTATACTTGTCATTTCTTGGAAATGATGCAGTTTACTTTAAAAATGTATAGCTATGTGTTTATAACCATGCATTTATTAGAAAAGTTCTGGGAGCATTACACGTTTTAACAATAACACTAATAAAAACTATCTATCTTCTGAAGGACCTTGCAATATTTGTGTAGATATTTGCTTGGGCTCTTTTCCCATCAAACCTTACCCAAAATCTGTGCTGGTGTCTCCAAAGCATATATGAAATTATGGAAGTGCAGAGAGCTTTTGCATTTTGTACGCCTCATGACAAATATGTAAACAGCGACTGATTATTCTGTCGGTCATCTAATCGGTATTAATCCTACCTATGACAGCAGTGCCTAGGAAACAGCTACAGAGGGGTCTCCATGGGGAAGGAGTTGTGGCAACACAGAATAATAAATAGCCCTCCTCTGAAGGCGATCCAGTTTGCAGTCCCGCTTAGGCTGGCTGTATGAGGACAGGAATGTGGTTATATCAGACAAAAGTAATGAAGAGTGATACCTGAGAGCAGCACCACTTTTTGCTGTTAGAGAGGGGCAGAGGTAAGCAGGACTGGTGAGATGATGATGTGCAAATAAGGCTTGAGGATGAGGTCAGGAGGCTGCAGGAAAACACAGGAGGAAGGCTTACGACGAACAGCCTGTCAGCACAAAGAACGCAAGTCCTGTCAAACACAGAGGGTAGGGTCAGTCTCCAATGTTTCTATTTAAGCTGCCTTCACAGCTTCTACGCTGTCTGTCTTGTTGGGCTGTTCCTTGCAGCACACCCTTATCAGCACACAGCAGGGAAAGCAGATGCTGCAGGGATGTTAGGTCCTCACTGGGCCATCTTCCACATGAGTCTGAGTTTTGGAGCAAGCGTGACCCCAGCTGGTTACCTTCACCTCGCTGGTGGGTAGTGCTTGCATAAGTCTCTCTTGTAGCTGTTCTGCTAGCTGATAGAGTGTTTTTCTTGTTGGAAACCATTAGTTTCTGTGGAGACAAACCAGTAGAAAAGTCATCAGCTGTAGCACTGATAATTTTGCTGAGGATTTTATCCTTGCTCAGTAGTGGTACAACATACTCAGTGCTGCTGGAGTAATATTCCTAATTTAGTCAGTGGAATATTTGGGTAGGAAAAGGCATGAAACCAGACTGAGGTGTATTTTAGCAATATATTTAGGAGTTCCCCCATTCAAGCTTTTAGTAAAATCTCTCAGCGCAGTGAAGTTTAGAGGGAGTTGAGGAGTTGTGAGGGTATCACCACTGATGATTAGAGTAAATTATGTTTCACTTCATTATGGTTTATCTATGAAGGAAAGAGTTGAAAATCTTTTCAAAATAAAAGAAAAAAAAATGTGTTCCCAAAATGGGAATGTTTTTAAACTTTTGGGACCAGGATACTAATGTTTTAGAAGGGGAGTTTCCACAGCCCTTGCTACAAACAAATCAATATGCTTGTTCTCCTCCCCTCCTGTGATTTAAGAAATCAGCAAATACTGAAGATGCTGAGACTGACCATTTCTCATGCAAATTTCTCGTAGCTGAAGACGGACTCGGAGAAGCGCTCAGTTACAGACAGCGAAACTTGGGGCAGCACTGAAGAACTGAAGAAACCAGAGGAAGATTTTGACAGCAGCGTAGACAGCAGTGGCAAGTGGAAAGGCCTTCCCTCGGGGCTGTCTGAAGAGTCAGAGAAGGGAGGGCAGAAAGCATCTCTCTCTGTTTCACAGACCGGATCCTGGAGGAGAGGCATGACCGCCCAAGTAGGAACAGCTCAGTCCAGGCACAAAGCAGGAACAAGTGCACTCAAGACCCCGGGTAGGAGACTTCTGTAGTTCAGATTACAGCACTGAAATTTAAGGCTTTATACTAAGACTTCATTTATAAGCAGTGAGGAATTTTTAGTGGGCTAAAAATAATTAATGGGTATTATCAGTGTGTGACAGACATGAGGAACTGTAAGCATATTGGTAGTTCTTCTCATGAACGACTGCAGGCCGAGATTGTAATATACTAACTTGTTCCTCTCTGTGACTGTTAGCTTGCTACACTCCATACTAATAATTTATTAATCATACATGAATGTATCCATAACACAAACTGTGATTACATTTCGTTTTACTATCATTTGAGGATGTCAGCTTCTATTAGGGATTTCTTAAAAGTATTTTTGGACTTCTGTCTGCCTTATCTTTGTTCTCTAGAAAACCTGTACCTTTGATAATTGAACATATGCATAGAAATGGCAAAAGATTAAAAGCTGAGGTAAAAAGGTTTAACATTAAAGTTAGGGGGCTCAAACTGAGTGTTTCTGAACTAAAGCTGAATTGTCACATTCCAGATACTGCAGGTGTTCGATAGTCCATTGTTAAGAAATTGAGAAAAATATCTTTTCACACACTTTCCTCACTGTTAGATGAGTTCTTACCTTCTTCTGAAAGGCCTCTCAGAAGTAGTAGCCACTTTTGCAATCTAGTTTTGAAGCAAAAAATCCAAAGTTGGCAGAATACATCATTATTAAGACCATCTAATCCATCATTTTACTAGGGAAATATCGACCCTTTATAGGACATTTTCTAGACCCTTGTCCTGTCCTGACAAAATACTGCATAAGCCTGCATTAACCCCCAGTTGTAAAGGTAACTAGCAAAGAACTCCTCCGAATAAATTCAAATCCTTCGTGACCCTCTTTTGTTTCTTTGCAATTTGGAACTGCTAACCATTGGTCAGCCTCTGGTCTATAAGATCCCTGAGGAACGTTGCTGCAGCCAGTGGTCATATGGATGCAAAAATGACACCTCTGTAACAGTGATTAAAAAAGGAGATACTACAAGGGGTACCGCATGCCAAGCTAAGTTTTCTGGATCCTCTGTTTGGCTGAAGACGAGCAGGCAGCCACTGTGCAACACAGAACAGAGGCCTTAATTGTTAAAACACATAGTAATAGTCTGTGTGTTCGCAGTGTAGGAGTCTGATCCGTATCTTGGCGTGTGCATGTTTGTGTAGCATAAAATGTGCACTGCATAAAAACATGAGTGGATTTAGTTCTGACTTGTAGGTGTTGCTCTTTATTACAGTTTAGTTTCTTAAGACAAATTAGGCCACCCACCTCCAAAACTTCCATAATCACTTGAAGAATTAATTAAAAATGGTGTTATGCTGAATATGTGTTCCTTATTAGGAGCATGCAATAGATGCTTAAAGAAAAATGAGAATAGAAAGGAAATGGCATTTTTTGTCTCTAAAGTTGTTTGTAAAAATATTCTCTTTTAAGATAGATGAAAATATCTTATTTAAACCTTTCTGAATGTCACAATAACATTATGTAGAAATATCTGGTATATAGGTATGTATCTGTGCAGTACTGAAGACAGCCTCTCAAAAAATCAAAAATCTTGAAAAGATATCAAGGATATGACAAAAACTATTAACTCATGTAATTGTTATCATTAGAGATCAAGAAGTTTCATACCATGACAACATAATCTCTCCCTGATAATTTTGTGTAACTAAAACCAGAACAAATTTAGTTATAAACTAAAAAAATGTAATCAGTGGAAACCAAAGAACTCAATAAGTACCACTAATTTCTACATGCATAATTAATGTCATACTTCTGGAAATGTTAATTACATGTCATGTTTTATTTTCAATTATTATTTCTTACATATAGAAATGCTATTAATAGAAAAAAAAGCCAAATAAAATTCTTTATAGTTCATTCAGGATAATTTTCTACATCTATGCTCTCCAGCTATATGTGAAACTGGAAGTCCTCAGGAGAATTTCAAGCTTTTAATACTTAATGCTTACCTGTAATGTATCATACCTGCTACTGACTGCTGATGGGGGACTAAAGAACAAACTGGTCTGTTTTCTTAGGGTAATTTTTCTATTTGTGTATTTTTTCATTTTGAAATTGTAACCATATAGTGTTAAAATTAGCTATTGAGACATTACAGCTTAAACACAGGTGACCTTTTCAAATATACTTTTATCTAGGAAAAACAGATGATGCAAAAGCTTCAGAAAAAGTGAAGACTCCCCTGAAAGGAGCCTCCATTCAGCGCTCTCCATCAGATGCAGGAAAAAGCAGCGGTGATGAAGGAAAAAAGCCTCCCTCTGGCATTGGGAGATCAACTGCTACGGGGTCCTTTGGATTCAAGAAGTCTGGGATGGGATCTTCTACCATAATCACCACAAGTGGAGCAACTATCACAAGCGGGTCGGCGACTCTAGGAAAAATGCCAAAATCTTCAGCCATCGGTGGGAAGTCCAATGCAGGGCGGAAAACGAGCTTAGACGGTTCCCAGAACCAGGATGACGGTGTCCTGCACATGAACTCGAAGACGACTCTGCAGTATCGAAGTCTGCCTCGCCCATCAAAATCCAGTGGCAGCGGCATCCCCGGCAGGGGTGGCCACCGCTCCAGCACCAGCAGCATCGACTCCAACGTAAGCAGCAAGTCTGCTGGTGGTGCTGCCACCAAACTGCGAGAGCCAAGCAAGATCGGGTCCGGGCGGTCTAGCCCTGTCACCATCAACCAGACAGACAAGGAAAAAGAGAAAGTGGCTGTGTCTGATTCTGAGAGCGTCTCACTGTCCAGTTCCCCCAAATCCAGCCCAACTTCAGCAAGCGCCTCTGGCACACCGGGACTTAGGCAGCCAGGATCCAAATACCCAGATATCGCCTCACCCACCTTTCGAAGGTTAGTGCTTTTCTATGAATTCCTGAAGTTGCAGTATATAAAGCAGGGATTTTCAATGTGTTGAAGCACTGGGCAAAAAGCCTTTTCAGGGCATATTTTGCCACAAACAGAGAACCACATGCAAACAGATAAAAGGGTAATATTTTTTTACACAATACAATTATTTCTCTAAGGCCTAAAGACCTTCTCAGACCTGAAATTGTTGTTCCTTGAGCTTTGAGCATTTTAGATACATTCCTCTAACAACAGTTTGAAGGCTAGAATAAGTTGGACTCGATGGTCCATATGCGTCCCTTCCAAATCGAGATATTCTATGATTCTAAGTTCTTATTGAATATGCAGGCACATGAGAAGTTCCCTCTCAATACTCTGATAAACACCCAAAGGGAAGACTGATGCCTCGTTCAGGCACATTCTGTTACTGGAACAGGCGATGCCATAGCCTGGTCGGAGAACTGAAGAGCTCTATACATAAAGTATTTACTTTCGTGTTGTTGGCAGCTCCAGCTACAAGCATTACATTATCTTAGCAGCTTTGTTACATCTTTCATCACAAACATTAGCAAAGCTAAATTTCAATTGGAAATGCTCTATTGTAACTTTTCTGGAAGTATAAATCTGGATGAAGCATAAATTGGGATGGAGCATTTGCACTGCTGGAGAAAAAGCCAATAGTGCCCTCTTGTGCCTCGTTACCAAAACAGCATCTCCAAGCTCCTGGGGAGCTGCAGCTGATTTTTGTGGGCTTGGTAATATGTAAAATGGATTCTTATGTTATTAGCCATGCTTACTTTACATCACGATAAATTTTGCATTTCTTTCTTATTAATTTATGAGCTGCACCTTAACTGCAGCTTAAAATGTTTCCAGTAAAACATTAAGTCATCACATGACCTTTTATTTCAACAGTTTTAGAGGATTTGGGTTTTTTTTTCATCATCACTGTAGAATTTTCTTCTATAGAATTCTTGTAAGCAATTATGTGAAATACACCTCTGTCGTGACTGCCCTTGGAGACAAACCGAGCCCAGTTAGCTCCGGTGCAGTTTATTCCATCTGAATGGTTACTACATGACTGATGACCACATGACCATCTGTGCAAAAGAACAAGAGGGAAATTTTACACAAATACTTAGATGTTTATTAAACTATGAAGGATTTTGCAAGTGTTTGTTGCAGTCATTTTAGCTGATTTGAGAAGTGAAGGGTTTAAAAGCTAATGACTTAGCTGTGGGAACGCTTAATTCTTGAATTTGGGTGAAAGTGTAATCTGTTTATGCACTAATAAGACAAAAATGTGCTTATTTTAACTCTCTCTGGGAGGGTCTGTATGTGCAAAGAACACATTTGAACAGGAGTGGATGAGAGCTCTTGCTAATGAAACAAACCCTGATTATTGTGATATGGTTAAGTGAATTTAATTTTGCGATGCGATTGATCAACTAGGTAGGCATGATTTTAGTAGCAGTAATTAAAAATGTGTAGTTTGGCTCTTAGGATGTTACGCCATGAATGTTTAATGTGGCTATCAGTTTCTCTAAAGCTATTTGTTTTACATTTAGGTTGTTTGGTGCCAAGGCAAGTGGTAAAGCTGCCTCTGCACCCAGTACTGAAGGTGTGAAACCCACATCGGCAATGCCCAGCCCTAGTACCACATTGGCACGGCAAGGCAGCCTGGAATCGCCATCCTCGGGCACAGGCAGCATGGGCAGTGCAGGTGGGCAAAGTGGTAGCAGCAGCCCCCTCTTCAGTAAACCTTCGGACTTAAATGCAGATGTTGTAAGCTTAAGTCACTCCTTGGCTTCCAGTCCCGCCTCAGTGCACTCTTTCACATCAGGTGGTCTTGTGTGGGCTGCAAACCTGAGCAGCTCTTCAGCGGGCAGTAAGGACACACCAAGTTACCAGTCCATGACTAGCCTTCACACCAGTTCCGAGTCTATTGACCTTCCTCTTAGCCATCATGGCTCTCTCTCTGGACTGACAACAAGCACTCAGGAGGTTCAGAGCCTGCTCATGAGGACTGGAAGCGTCAGATCTACTCTTTCGGAAAGGTGAGCTTGCCTATAGATACAGTGACCCCAACACCAGTCAGAGGCAAAAGGACAGGAGCGAAAAAAATAAACCCTCTACCTGTTTTCCTAAAGGGACACTGTTTAATTAGCAGCTTAGTCCTTTATGTAAAAAAGGAAGGAAGGAAGAAAAGAAAGCTGAAAGAAATCACAGGCATTGGACTTGGAATCAACTGCCTTTTAAGGTTTTACAAGCACATTTTCTTTCTTGAGAAGTTTTTTTTTTTCCCTCCCTGTTCTGGAGAACAGCCAGAGAAAAGGGGAAAATTGTCTAATTAAAGGCAAATCTAAACAGCCACAGAATGACTCCTGCATGCTGGATCTACCTGCTCTCCTAGCAGTTGGCAGCTCCAAAGCTGTATCACTGCCCTCTTGCTAACAAATCTTCAGCAGTGGGGCCCCACCAGTTGTCTTCCCATTAGCTCGAAGCACAGGCAGAGCTGGTGGGCCCCTGCCTTCAGCTGACCAGTCTTGCCTTAAAATGCCCAGTCCTGGCAAGTTGCTTCTTACATTGTAATCATTACACACAGATCCTTACTAAAATGCAGTTTCACTGGCAGGGACACAGCTTGCAAGATGAGACCCTCACTATATGCACAGTGTGTGGAACAGACAAACAAAAGGAAGAAAGTGTTTTCCTCTGCTTGCTCTTTTTAATGTGCAGATATTTTACCATTTATTTTATATTACAAAGTGATGCATCCACCCCGGCACACTTGTACCATCTTTTTTTTTTTTTTTTTTTTTTTTTTTGTGTGTGTGTGTGTGTGTGTGAAATATTTATTTGACTTTTGCAAGAGAGAAAAAATAAACTTTGCTAGGCAGTAAGTAATTTTCACTTCCTGCGAAAATTTTCAGGATTTGACAATGAAACTCTTATCTCACATGGGGACTGAAAAGTTAAGATTAAATATTTCATTAGCCTTTGACCGAAAAAGGAATATTATACTGAGTCAGTCAGAAATATTTTAAACTTTTAAAGGTTAAACTCAGCTGTCTAGAAAATACATAATTAATTGAAGGAAAAAAGATCTCTTTTGTATACATGTGAAAAACATACGATGTTAAGAAATTTTTTCCCTTTATATAAAACCAGAGATTTTTCAACACCGATCCTTTCCATGGAAAGATTTTACTTTCAGTGAATCAGAATTAAAACAAAATAAAACCAAACACCTAAACAACTCTTTGCCAAATCGAGATGGAAACTCTCCGCAGATTTCATTCTCTTATGTTGCATTCATAAGTATTACTATATCAGCTAAAATCACACCTCTTACTAATACGAATACCATACTATAAAACATATGTTTACACCAATATAATGTATGATAATAACAATAGTTTAAAATGCACTGATACGTAAGTGATTTGGAATATGAACTGTACCTTTAATTTTTAAATAGTAATTTGCACTGCATGCCATGAACTAAATGTGACGGTATTTCTTAGAAAGTCAATTATTAATAGTTAGTTTATAAAAACCTGCACTAATTTTTAATGCTACATATATGGATGGTGAGGTCAACAGGATGATGTGGAAGAGTATGAATTTATGCCAAAGATCATATTTATACAGAGGATGTTAAACATCACATTTAAAATGTTAATGGTTTGGCATAAGCTCCGGAGCAACCCCCACTACTAATACTTTATGTATTTGTTCAGTGACTTAATTTCAGTGGTTCCAAATACTTTGCCTTTGGCAATATTTTTAAGTTTCAGATTTGTCGATATGGGATATTATGACTGAGTCCAGAGAGAGCCATTTATCATGTTGATCTGGCCTCAAAACAAATATAGGTACCTAGAGAAAATGGTGTCATTTCTTGAATTATAGCCCCAATAGGGTTTTTGCAGTTTGATTTTTCCGAAAGGTCTGTTACAAGTGCTGTGTTTTTTCTAAACTGTTTTACACAGTAAAACCTACATGTAGCAAAGTGTTTTTTCACAACAAAAGCATTCGTTTGCAATGTTAAGGCCAGATATGTTTGCAGCAGATTGTGTCCTTTTCCTTTTGTAAACTCAGATTATATTTGAGATGCCTCTGGCATGGCATAAGCAATTATCTGCAAAGAGGCTTATTCTTTTTCTTCAGTCACTCTAGAGCTTGCAAAAGACTGAATGAGCGGCCTGTATAGTGAGGTACACTAATGTAATGTAGAGACAAAATCAGAAAGACCGAAGCACAAAATGAGATACAATTAGCAAGCAACATAAATTCTACACACAGAAAGCCTAGGGAAAGCTAAAAGAGAAGAGACCACTAATAATAGATGATGCAAATAAACACGGCTTTGCTTCGCTGAAGCATTAACTGCAATTTGATAGCTAAGCGTCACTAATGGCAAGCATGCTAAGAGGGAATGAAAAGGTTAAAGATTACTCCAATTTACCGGTTCCGATGAACTTTTCACTTCCCTGCTTCAGACACAGATATAGCCCTGCAGTCGTTAGGACTGAAGAGGTTTCAAAGGGTCTGTGCTGAAGAAGGAGTGAAGAGGAGGGCTGGGCTGGAGGACGAGGGGATTGTGGGCAAGGCCATCTTGCCTCAGTTCCTGGAAAGATACAGACAACATCAAACAAAATGGGTCAAGTAACAAATAACATGGTATTTGTTATTAACCGCCTTTTAAATAAGACTAATTTAATTCATTTGTAGGAAAGCAGGCTTTGTGAGTAGAGGAGAGGCATTAGATACAATAAGAAATCCTGAACTTAGTAAAGCTCTAGGTGCTGTTTCAGAGTACATTCTCACAAGCAAATGAAGGAAATAAAGTAAGGTGCTTGACCGGTTGGTAAAGAGTTATCAAAGACTAGTGATCAGTGGTTTACTAGCCTGAAGGGATATAACAGGGCAGGATATATTTGCACAAATACAAAATGGAAAATGATGAGGCTATTTTGCAGAAAGGAGACAGTGTCTAAGGGGTTGCAGTGCCATTGCTGGGACAAAGCATTTTCCCAGTATTTTGAAAATGAAAGTATCACGTGTAAGTCTTAGAAAGTAGTTATCCCATTCTACTTTTTCGTGTTAAGGCTTTAACTTGAAGACTTTGGAATATCAAGTTTTAGGAAACATTTGATGCAACTGGAAAGAACCCAGAAAATAAGACCAAAATCTCAGGGTACATCTCTGTTTCCTGCTATGGAGAATAGCCCTTGACTGCCTCCAAAAAAGCAGTCACCTGCCATGGAGACAGCAAATCTACAAGGTCTCTGCTACATTTGCCCACATGTCCCTCCAGGGGTGATCAGGCGTTGCCCACACCCAGTCTTTGGGCTATCCACCAAGCAATGGTATGGCATAAACACAGAGCTCCCTGACAACTGCTGTATTGGTACAGTGTCAAAGTTTACTCCAGTCAAATTTTGTGTCATTCATGACATTCTTTTGCGTTGTAATAACCAGAAAATGGCTTCAGTAAACACTAGCAAAATATTTGCTTTTTCAGCAAAATTTGCCTCTCCCTCAGGACTTTTGCTGGTTTTGCACTCGCAGTATTTATTTAGACAAGTCTACTTCTGTTACAGCAGTGTAACTCCTTATGTGGGAGGACACTTGTATTTTAGCTTACAACTTAGAGGGATTAAAATAAATCATACAGGTACTTTAAAATAAAACTGTCTATTGGGGTTAATTGGTGAACTGTCACTACTTTAATTGCTAAAATTTTCCAGGTGAACACATCACCAATATTTATTTTGAACCCTTATTTGCTGTTGGGCATTGCGGATTTGTGTCCATCTTCTGCTTGGTCTGAATGACACAGCAAGGGATGCATAAAAAAATGCAGAAATATAGGAATTAACAGTGGTCTCATCAGCAATAATGGCTGCATTTTAAGATTAGCAGAGGGGAAGTAGTTTCTAATTACATGACTGGCTTGCTCTCGTTTACTTTAAAAAGGTGTTTAGTTTTGAGGGCCATGAAAATGCATTGAAATCCACTTAAGCTCTTCAAGACTTTCAGTTGTTTTAAATATCTCCATAGTTGATGGTTGTACTTTTAAGGTGTGAAACAGTGTATCATGTATCAGATTTTCTTGTGTGTTCATGCATTTGTAAAAACTCATTTATAAGTCCCCTATCAGCTTGGCCCAGCCTGCCCCAGACCCCCCTAGGTGCTTCTTAGCTTGCAGTAATTTGTTTTATTCCCTAACAGCTCTGCAACAGCTAGATATAGCCCAAAGATACAGCATTATGGCCCTTTCCCAAGTTAACCTCAAGACCAAGGGCAGGTAGGAACCTGAGAACTGTAAGGCTTCAAGTAATTTCCCCCAGAGAACTTGCAGACAGTTTCAGTAGGGCAAAATAAACAAAAGGGAATGGAGATACAGTGGGCTTGATAACTTCAGCCTACATCTGCATGCGTCTTCCTGCAAGACTGCATTTGGCAATTGACGTGGCAAAGGAAAACATCAGGAATATTACAATATTCTCAGCCTCACTTTATATTGGTATTTGTTTTGAGCCAAAGAGACAGATTCCATGAATGCATTGCTTCTCTCAGGAAAGAACTGACTTTTTTTTCGTATCATCTTTAGAGATCTTTTAAGCACCGAGGTCAGGCTGGTACTGTCCTAATGGGATCACTGCATGTTACAGTTCAGTTGTATTTACCAAAGGTCCAATTTCTGTGGAAGTAACATACCCAGCTTCTTGGTGGAGGAATGCTTTCAGATACTAAAAAGATATGGGCAGTTATGGGTCTGAATTAATAGTTACATTCAATCATGTTTAAAAGTTTCATGCAATTATCTGAAATCTAGGAGAATCTTCATAAGATTTAGTATTTTTAAAAAGCAAAATGAATGTTTGCTACATTTACTTTTATGCAATTGCAATAACTCCATGCTCATGTTGAGGAATATTCACCTCTATTTCATTTGGGTACCTGAATTCAAAAGTTATTTAGCAAAATCCTATGGTCACTACTATCCTATTTATCCGACTGACTTACTTATAACTTTTGGCTTGTGGATTACTTTAAAGGAGCACTGATTGGCTCCTTTATTTCTAGATAATGTGCTATAGATTATTGTGAAATACATAGAACTTCAAGTTAAAATAATATTAGAAAATGCGTTGTTCATTAGGATGGTTGAAGTATTTGCAGAAGAAACTGGTTTTGTTATCATCATCGTGTTTATTTGTTCTGAAATTTAGAGGTGCATAAAGGAACATCAAGGCCCCGTTCTTCTCTGTAAGGAACTAAAAAATACATGAATCATGCATTCAAATATATGTTCTTTCACCAACCATTCTTGGTCCTTTTAGTTATGTTGGGAGCAAAATGCTGAAAATTTAGTCCTCTGTCTGACAGAGGACTACTCTCACATGGACCATGATAGCTGGGCCTGTGCTGAAATCCTGCAAAGTTTCTCCTTCCATTTGCTTTCTCCCCAAAGCCCTGATTAAACCAGTAAAATTGCGTATAAAACTTCGTGGTGGTAAGAGGGGTTTACTTCCATTAGTCTGAGCCTTAATAGTAATGGATTGTTAACACCAACAGTATTTTCACTGCCTTTACCTATTTGGATCAAGGTTACATGACAGTGGGACCTCGAGCACCCCTGGCACAATAGAAAATGACCTTTAATAATGGCATAAGAGTTTTCCTGGGTAGGAAGGGCCCTAAGTTACTGTTGCTCTCAGAGGTGTGATTATGATATGTAATACAGAAACTTTCTAGAGCCATTTAGCAATTTAATCCATACCGTGACACTAAATTATGTTTTAAAGGGAAAAAGACATTGCAACACTGACTTGATAACTAGTTGAAATTCAGCCCACACTATCTACCGATCTACCAAGTCTTTACGAGGAAATGCGCAAGTGACACTTATTTGAAGGAAGGCTAGTGGGTGCCCTTCCAGTAATAGGGTTTAAATTAAGAAAACTTCAGTCATAGATCTCTGGAGATCAGCCACTCTGCCACCATGTATGCATGAATATGGAATAATATTGCTCTGGTGCCACTTTTCATTGTTCCCACCATCACCTTACTACGTGAGCCACACAACAACAGAAAGCCAAGGGTCTGTATATTTAGCACGTATTTCTACAAGCAGAGCTATCATTTGGCTTCTGGCAAGGCCATGCTGTCTCTTAGCAGGTGCCGCAACCTTCATTTCTTTTGGAAATCTATTGGCATATCGTAGGCAACTGTGAAAAATAAAGACTCATACTGTGACCATATGATTCTCGCACAGATTGCAGGGTGAAGCTGTGGGAAGGTTAGAAATGCTAAGGAAGGATTTCTTTCTGACTTGAACAGTCTCCAAATTACTATTGACCCAGCCCAGGGCATGTCTAGATGAAAAATGAATGTGCAGCAGTCCATGTCCTATTGTCCCCTCCAATGAGTCAGGGATTTATCATGAAAGATATATGAAAAAGCTTTAAATGACCTTCTGTTATGCACACATATCTAGACCTTTAAAATTTGTAATTCTGAACAGTCCTGTTTACTGTGTGTCCTTAGGGATTTTTTTTGTTTTAACAGCATGCAGCTTGACAGAAATACACTACCCAAAAAGGGATTAAGGTATATATTTTTTTGAGCATGACTGCTACTTCTCTGTTTTTCTGTAACTTTTTCTACATTGTCTTTCCTTTTCTTTCTCCTTTTGTTGATCCTGTTTACAATGGAGTTCTTGGTACTTAGATTTAAACCAAAAAATGTAGATTTTAACAATGGGCTTTTTCTTTCCACGTCTGCCTAGTAAATAAATTTCCTGTCAAGATACAGCATGGAAAGCGAATACTGTTAAGGATAGTTTCCTTATGCAATGAATCTTAAAAGGCATTGAATCCTGGAGACCTAAAAGAGACAGAGCAAGATACTTTTGCAATTCAATGGGACTACTTCATGAAATTATTGAGAAAAATAACATTTTTAGAGGTGGATCTGAACTTGAACTCTAAATGCAAACACTCATGCAATTTGAATTGAAGATCTGGTAAAGAGTAAGGCTAGAAAATACTAATTTTAACATCCAAGGTTTGTAAGTATAAAATGAGCCCTGCTCCAACTAGTGTTCTTGATCCCTATCCAGCAATACTCAGAGTCCAACTTTGCTACTAATTCCCCACTAATTAGAGCTGTCTTCATCACAGAAAACAGAAGTCATCTACCGTCTTCTGCAGTCCATGGTTAAAAGGGAGGATCATTAGGTAACTTGTCTGGTCTCATCAGGAATGGCAGCCTATATCTCCCTAATCCAGGAAGGAGATTTGACAAGCAAGGGTATATGTGCATGCACACAGACAGTCTGCATCCTTCCGGTCACTGAAATCACACAGTTAAATCTCTTGAGTTATTGATAAATCATATTTTATGAAATTTTAAGATAAAGTGTTGTGACTAGATAGCACTTTGTGCTCTTCTGCACTACCCATTCCTTAAAAAGAATTTAATCAAATTTCCCATTATCCCAAAACAATCATTTTGGATTGGGAGAGAATGGAAAAGGTGGAGGACATGAAAGAGGCATAAAGGGGACCCTGCAAGGGTACAATGGGACGACTGAGGTTTGTGGCTGAACAATTCTAATGGTAGCTGAAAGCTGAAAGTGAAATGGAGTGGGAAAACAGCTTATAGGCATATAATCCTGATCAGTTATCCCAGAAATACCGTTAGTTTGATTTAATGTGCAGGGACCCCAGTCCAAGACCCAGATCCTGAATTCTCATTTTGCCATCTTTCTGGTCTGATAACCACTGAGTAACTCTGCTCTACCACATTTATAAGCAAAGATCATAGCTGTCTTTTTGAAAGGAGAAAGGAAGTAAATATTTAATCAGGACAAGATGTTTTAATGCCGTAAAATATTGTACAAAACCTCAAGCACAACATGAGAACTTACATGTTCATTTAATCTGCTTTCTAAGCAGAAATACTTGTGCCTTGCAAGCCTGCAGCCAGAGTATCAAAAGCCCTGTCTGCTCCGCTGCTTGGGGAACACTGATGGCTCATGACAGTGGTGAAGAAGGTGCTCATTTCATTGTGCTGAATGAAGCAGGCTATTGCAGACATTACTGAAAACAATCTCTTGGTTAAGACCCACGTTGTCTGCACGGTTAATTATTAACCACTGCCAGAATTGCCCTTCTTCCAGCCCAGCCAAAAGAGGCTGGGCCAGTGAGTTACCAGTTCTCCCTCTTAGCCCATGTGTCAAGTTGCACTTGTTTTATTGGTTTGCCACAGGAAGCAGTTGATGAATGATTTGATTGCCAGGCTTCTTCCTTCCAGAGAACTTGTTTCTGCTAATTGTGGATTTTTCCTGTCCCTTTCCCTCCCCCCAGTTTGGGGCAGGACACAATGCCAAGTAGCATTCAGAGCGACAGACCGCACGTATGACCATGAGTAGCTGTCATTCCCAATGCAAACTCTTTTTTCAGAGCTGTTGATCTGTTTCACTCCTATCATCTAACCAATTGCCCACATGATCTGTGGCAAATGTCATTTTGTAAGCAGCTACTCACATTTCTTGGCTTCTAGTCTGTCCATTCCCCATCCTAGACACACAGCTTCTGAGCTTTTGCATCAGCCTGTACACTTCCTACAGCTTTGAAGTCCTTTCCTGTCAACTCAGTTGTCTGTCTTCTATGGTTTATCATCATATCTCTTCAAAGGAAGGGAATGCTGTCTCGGGGAGGGGGATGAAGGTGAAAGGGGTTTCAAGTCCTGTACTTTTTCTGTTGTAATAAGATGGTAAATTTTACCCTGGTGATAATCACTTGACTTGATGCTTTCCAAGGGTTTTGTTCTATCTAACTGCTGAAGTGTATCTATGTGACACCTGTTTCTTTCCAAACTGTCACCTTGTCGTTGTTTTGAGCATGTCAGCTGTGGTTTTTCAGATATACTCCATCATCCCGGCAGACGAGTCAGGAGGAAGGCAAGGAATGGCTGCGCTCCCATTCAACTGGAGGCCTCCAAGACACTGGCAGTCAGTCCCCGCTTGTTTCTCCTTCAGCTATGTCTTCATCTGCAACTGGAAAATATCACTTTTCCAACCTGGGTAAATGTCGTTTCCCTTCACTGTTTCTGCCACTCTAGAACAGAATCATAAAATTCAATCATTCATATTTCTTAGTTTGCCAAACTTGATAATTTATTTTAACATCTCCATCACCATATCGTGGTGCCTCACTAATGAAGGGAAACTCACAGTGGTTTTCATGGAGTAGGCCAGGGTACCTCCTATTTTGCATACAGAAAAAAAGCACAGATTCTCTATGTCTTGCCCAAGGAGAAGAAAATCTGAGGCAGAGATGGAAATCAGCTTCTAGTTCAAAGCTACTCATCTTTTAGGATTCACAGTCAGTAGGATTCTTTCCAGTGATTTCAGTGAATGTTAACCCAGACACTAAACATTACTTTTTTCCTACATACAGGTTTGCTTTGAGATAGGCCTTTCTAATGCATTCCAGTGGCTGGACCTGGCTATAACTGCACTGGGCCCAATCCAGATCCTGTCCTTGAATGCAATATAATATTTTAGGATGTGAATCACATTTAAAATTTATTTGATTACAGGTCAAGATTTAAATTTGGTTCTTCTGGATCTTGTTTCAAGATAATCCAACACAAATTTAGTTTTGTTAATAATTTTATTTTTCTTTAGTGCTTAATAGAAAACCATTTATTTGCACCGTGCTGGACACATGCCTAGGTTCACAAGGAGCTTTTGTGTTTTAGGCCCTTATTGTGGAACTAGCAGTAACCTTTGAAGCATTCACACTTCTGTTACTCTGTCACAGCTTATGGCATCAGTAGGTTACAATCACTCAAAAGAAATTTGATCAGACATACAAATGTTGGTCTTTATTACATATGGGAAAAGAAGTTGAACAAAGCCACCTTTAAAAATGAAATTGAATCCTGGCTAAGCAAGCCACTGCTTTGGATTTCCTCCATGTACTTGCAGTAGTTTGAGACAGAGCTCTTTTTAGGCAGTGTTTCTCTCACTCTATCATTTTCTGCTTACAATTACCTTCTTTTTCTTTTTGTTCATGGTTCTTGTACTCACAACAGAGAGCAATAAGATCAAGCGTTTTTAAAATTTATTTTGTCATTGTTCTTTGCTTCTTTCCATTATCATGGCCCTATGGAATAATTTGCTCTCACAACACAGCTGCTCTGGTAGTTAATGACTTAAGGAACATTTTGCATGATCTAAAATAAAAGTCCAAACACTGAGGCTGAGTTTGGGTGGACAATTAGCTTTTTCTTCTAGGCACTGAGTTCATGTGGTCCAGGTGAACCATAACCAGGCTTTCCTTCCTACCAGCAAACAAACTTTGCAAAAGCTTAAAGTAGGTTCATCAGTGCTGTTCTGGATTTCAGCCATGAGCGATCGGACTACTCCTATTTATTATGATGAGATTCAACTGGCCTGTGCAGGAATTTTGACCTAATATAGTAGTAGGTGCTGTAGAAAATCAAAGGATAAATATGTCTTGCATATGCCAATAAACTTTGGTCATAACAGCAGTCAGTAATATAGATATATAACAATAAAATACAGATACTGATTTATGAGAAGAGCTGCTTATGAAAAATACTTACAACTTCTTATTCCTTTTTAACTTTTGAATCTCTCCCATTGATTTTCTGTCTTGGGCTGTCAAAGTGAACAAGTGTGTATTCAGACACCAGAGTTAGTGCTACCATGTGTTTTACAGGATTAGTGTCATCCATCTCCTTGGAGATCATCTGCTTCACCATTTTGTCGTGGCTTTGTATGTAGGAGTAAAAGTCTCTAATTTTCTCAACAGCGCAAAGTCCACCTAACCATGCTAGTCCTACAATTTTGTGCAGAACCAAAATTCTTTTAATGGAAATGTGCTTCATTAATAAAGCTTTGTATTCCAGTGAGTCCAACCAACCTATCTCAGTTTAACCTTCCTGGACCCAGTATGATGCGTTCAAACAGCATCCCTGCACAAGACACTTCTTTTGATCTGTATGACGACTCCCAACTGTGTGGCAGTGCTACATCCTTAGAAGAAAGACCACGAGCGATTAGTCATTCAGGTTCATTCAGGGACAGCATGGAAGAAGGTAAGACTGAGTTACTATTTGGATCAGTGAATACGCCCCAAAATAGGTCCCCGAAATAGGCCTCCAAAGTGTAGTAAAATTTTAAAATATTTCTTCTGCAACATAAAAACTTAGATAATTTTGTGAAGCTTTTTTTTAATTCTGTTGGGCTGGACTCCCAGGACTTCCTTACCCTAAAGCATGGAAGATATTTCTTTCACACAGTAATACGCAGTGCTATGTATGTCATACATGTATAAATCCTTTATCAGAAATTTTGGAGGAAAGGAAGCTATTCTTGGAAAATTATTTTATTCTTTTTGCCTCTAAATTTGAAGTGTCTGAGCATACCTTGACTACTGTGATTCTATGCTTTCTTAGTCCTACTTCTGTATTTCCCTTTTTTTCCCAAATGCCAGTGCTACTTAGCATCCCCTTTCTTTTATAGTCATTTCATTTCCTCACTTTCCTACAGCTTCCTACAGTAAACACTATGTACTTAAACTCTGCTATTTGATCTGACCTCAATACTTGCTTTATGCAGATATTACTGTTGGTCTGGTTTCTTTAATGCTATGTACAACACCTGGAATCTGGGGAATATTTTTTGTCTTGGTTTTGGTTTTTGTTCTTTTTAAACCACAGAGCATCTGACAACTGTAACATTTTCTTCTGCCTAACATTTCTGGTAAATCTGATTATTTGCAGAATTCCCATAAGCACAGAGTTCTCACACCTTTAATTAAAAAACAAAACAAAACAAAACCAAAACCAAAAAATAAACCCACCAAACCAAAAAGCAACAAAACACCAAAAAAAAGCAAAGAACAAAACCACCCCACTAAAATTTAATGGAGATTCTCTCTATAACATCATCTCATCAACCTTGCTTACTGCTAAGTGATGACAATATAAATGGTCTTTATAACAAGCAAATAAAAAAGTCTTCCCCTAGCCCCAAAGCTCATAGTTATGAGATAAAAGGGGAAAAAAAAAGTCCTAGATGAAAGAAGGGACAACTAATACTTTTACTTTTCAATTCCTTCTTCTGTATTTTAGATGATATGTCAGGCAGACATCTGGGTATGTAATACTAGCAGTAAGGTGCAGGACAGATCAAGCTGTGAGTTGTCAGCACAGAGAGGATGGTTGACTGCACAGAAGCATATCACATAATTCAAGGACAGAGGTGACTACAGACCCTTTGCTGAGGAACAGGAGAATTATCAAAGGAAACACTGAAAGCAGAATAGAGAAAACAAGGCAAATAATTTATGCACAGAAAAAGAGGTGTTAAATCTAGAATTTCAGTAATAGGGCACCAGCGGCTTTGACGAAAGCTTTTTCATTGGTCATGTTTCATATCCAGCTGGAGTGGATAACCGTGATCAACATGAGTAAATGAAAGTCAATGCAGCAATAATAAACAGTTTTCAGCGGTTTATGGTCATTAGAGATTAACATGAAATGATGCTGTTGGAAGGCCAAATGTATTTTATTTAAGATAGGAGCTCTGGTGAAGGTTATAGTGAAAAAAGTGGGGTAATGGGTAGAGCCACTGTGTAGGACGGCAGAATGGGAATTTACCTGAGAGATTTAAAGCAGAGACTGGAGACCAAAGATATATTGAAAGCAAGAGGATTTCAATGGTCAGTGTACCACATCTTTGTAAATATTTGCTCAGTTACAAAATTGGATTTAAAGTCTATTTGGCTAATGCAAGTGTTCTTGTATTGTCAGTTTGGCATACGGATGCCAGGTAGCTATTAAAGCAAAATAATTTATTTACCAGACCCTGGCAGATTATAAATATTGAACAAATTTCTTTTGAAACAAAAATGAAAAGAAGTATTGAACTAAATTATATTCCTTAAAATTCTCTGTTGGTGTATCCTTCCTCAGGAGAGTCATCAGGAGCAGAAGGGGCAATTTTTTCTCAGTTTAGGCTTCACTTGCCATTTTCAGAGAGGCCAGAAACCCCATTTTTTGAGTTGAAGTCCTGCAACATTCACTCGGTGCTCTTGAGGCTGACTCTACTGATGATTAGTGGGAATATGGCACCATGTCTTGCGGTAACCCCTTCACACAGACTACAAGTGCAAGCATGCACAGGTCTGCGTTGTGCTGAGTGAGAAACCAGCTGAGCAAAGCCTGGGAGCTCACCCCAGGGAAGGTGAACTGTTTTGCAAAGCATAGTCCCTTATTAAAATCAGTTTGCTCAGCTTTGGACAGGTGTATAAACAGCTCAATTTCTGGTTTCTCTAAAAAGTGTATTTTTAAAATGATTTTTTGTCAAAGCAACAAACATGATGCTTGATTTGCTGGTAATAATACTGACTCTCACTGGCTCGCTCTCCTACCTCACACACAGAAAAGGGCTTTTTTTTTTTTATAGAACAATCTCTTTAAGTGCAGAAAAAAATATCAATAGCTTTTCTATACTGATAGCTCATAATTATTCTTCATGGAAGACTGGTTCTTATTTTAAAAAGGTGTTTAGTTATTGAGCTACGTGGGGGAACTTTTATGCTTTCATCAATATTTCGTGTTATTTTCATTTTTTTAAAGTACATGGATCCTCGTTATCACTTGTCTCCAGCACATCCTCTCTCTACTCTACGGTGAGTATTGACATTTTAGAAAAAAGTTCTGCCTGCCTCTGTTCTTATTCATTGTTCATGAAACTTTCAATGCTTTGAGATTTAGAAGGATTAAAATTGTACTGCAATAAAGCAGGAACATTTATTTTCAACTTTGATATTACTGTCATGCTATTTTAGAATACATTATTTTGATTTTTTTATGTGATTTGCTTAGAACTGCTTAAAATCAGCTAGTGTATATTTTGAAAGCTAAAAAGAAAATAATGGTCTGGGAGTCTCTCTTTAAGGGGGGGTCCTTATGCTATTGTAGTTGATAATTTTGAATAGTTTTGGTTATTTTCAGCTAGTTTTCTAATTGCACAATTTATGAAGTGTTTTTGTCATGTCACTGTTCAACACACACTTCTTGGAAAAGACAAGTTTGCTTCAGGGTAAGGGAGATACAATTTGCAGGTTAAATGTCTACTGGTCCCTGTTGCAAATGATAGTATTTAGATGTTATTTCCAAAGAGAAGAGTGTCTTTAAAAATTATTTATCTTAGTTAATTAGATTAATTAGATTGAGTAATAATTGTATTCTAGCTCAAGCAGAAGTTCTGGGTTTGATTTTTTTTTCTCTATTTTATTGTTTTGGTATCTTTTTTGAGATCTTCTGCATAATTTGTTGCTTCAGTTGTTCTGCTTACAAGAAATCATCCATATGGGAGGAGTTAAACATGTTTGGACATTCCCTTGCTGATACACAACAGTTGCTTTGCAACCTATTCTCTAACTACAATTACATGCTGTAGTAGCTCTTTTTCACGGGAGTGCAACCCACTTATCTGCTTTCATATCATGCATTCATAAATAGTCTGTCTCCTCTCCATGTTTTCAGGTGTTGAATAGTGTCAGCTGACATCCCGGGAATGACATGGACTCCTCTACCCGGAGCCAACACCAGTTCTTGCCTGGGAATATTGAGCCCATGCAGCCTGATGCATTTCTACCATTTGGTAGCCATATCTCAATGCTAAACTCATGTTAGCTTGGAAAGTAGTTTGCATCCATGCACAATGTCTACCAAAATGGTGTCTCTCCAGGTTGTTTCATCATAAAAAGGTCTATACATGTCTAAAACATCAGGTAGACACGCATCAAGTTGCAAGCAATTCCAGTCCAGATCAGCCCCAAATTATTTGGGGGAGGTAGAATGTATGTACAGACTGGCTGCACATAAGGTATGACTAACATTCAAAGCAAAGCTTCTCACATTTTGGTAGTGGAAAAATCTTTACTACTGTTTCCCTGTCTATGAGACACTGCCACCAACTTGCATGAAGGAGTGTCCAAAATTATAATTCAAGCTTTGACATCAAAATTTACAAGAATGTTATGAAACTGATAGCTGGTAAAAATCAAATTACAAACTGACACAGGATGCTTTCAGTATCCAGTCAGTCAGTAATTCTGAAATATCTCTGCTCTGAAGTTGTGTATTATAGCAAGGGTTTACTAATACTTCCTATTTATATAACCTGCTATCATTCAAGATTACAGAGTATCTTGGAAATATTACCTAAAACCCATAATATTAGAGAACAATATTTTTCCTGCAAAACAAACTTTAAACTGTTTACCCAAGTTCATACTGTAAGCCAGTGGAATATCTTCTGAAATGTCTGACTGCGAATTCACATTGCAGCTAAGCCCCACCCCTTAAATTATGGATTATGTAAACACAATAATGGAAGTTACAGAAAAGTTTGTAAAGGGCAAGAAAGGAATTAGTATGACAAAATCACTAGTGTTGACCTTTAGGGATGATTTTTGATCAGAATTTCTTCTGCTTGATCCCGCTCATCCTGTGAAAAAAGTTTAAACTTTTCAGCAATTAATCAGAAGGTGATGCACAAGTGGAGTATAGAAACATGAAAGGCTGGCAATGAGTATCACATCAGCTGAAAGCTGAGAACAACATTTCATTGTTCAATGATACGGTGCAGTGCCCCATTTCCTCCAGAAAGGAATAGCTTCACAGTGTTATGGCACATGTAACGCGCTTTTAGCTATTGCTAGATTCAAGGAGGAGTACGAGAGCTTTTTTACCTTAAGCAGGCCGAAATCACTAAGCAGGAACTCCAAAGCATCTGCTTTTCCAGAAGTATCTCAATCAAATATATTTATCAGATTTCTCAAGCATTGCCTTAAGCCTTGGTGCTCGTGGTTTTCTGCAGCCTAATCACTGGGGAGATTCAGACAAAGTACTAAATAAAGATCAAGATCTTTATGTATTATTACCAAAGGATAGCTGAAACTCTTGAAGTTATTCTCTGAAGATTGTTTCTTGAGAATTAGAATATGAGATTCAGAAGGCACATTTCATGATTTGCTGCCATTGCAATGAATAAGTCCAATGAGAGAGAAGTTCTGCATTCACTAGTATTTTCTGTATGTATTGGCTTTCTTCTTGATTTGCATTTGGGTTTTCAGGACTTAACTGAATAGACTGGAAATCTAGCTTGTAGAGATATGCATGTACAGAGATAAACATTTGGTTTCACAGAAAATTATGCCATGTAAGCGGACTTAGTAGACTGTAGGATTGAAATACTGATTGGGTTTTGGCAGTGAATATATCTAGCTCTCCAAGAAGCTGAAGATGTGTGGTAGTGTAAATTACGATAGGTTGTCTCCAGTTTTAATCTCCTCCTGCTCAGTAGGTGAGACACTGCAATTTGCACATATTTAGTTAATTACTATATTGCTCGCACTGGCTCTCAGCATTAGCTATACTTAGAATCCCTAGACTTCATTAACTGTGCTAAGCCAAGCTCAAAGGAGATGTGTAAGGACATGTCATTTGCATGTTAATATTTTAAGTCTTCAAAAAAAGAAAAAAATAATGCTTACAAGGATGGGATGCACAGATATGATAGAGAAGTAGAGGGAGAAAAAAAATTGTTTCCTTTCAGGGCCTTTTGAACCAATGGCTGAGTGCTGGGTTACAATGATGTCAGCATGAAGTAAAACCTGCTCAGATGTATTTGGTTGCCAGATTTTATTTTTTAAGTTGAAAGTATGCCCAGAATCCTGTTCTTTCTCTTTCATTTACTTCTTCCACGGCCCACAAAATTTGTGGGAGCCACCTCTCTGAACTCTGGGAGAGAGGCAATGCTTCCTTGTACAGTGAGGGAGTCATCTGGTAACAACATGTAGCACTGTCTTCATCAGCAGGGGCCGGCGGTCTAAGGATGAGGGACCACATCCCCACATGGCGGTTTCAGAAAAGGTCACCAACCCTAAATTTTTATTTTTTTGCTTTTCTTGGCACAGTAGAATTCATAAGGGGACATGGTATTTCTTGATCCCTTTGTGACTTTTCATGCACTTCGTGTTTGAAGTAACAATAATGAGAATAGAAATTCCATTTTTTCTGTAGGCAGATCTCCTTTTTGTGAACATAGATCAGAAAGTTAGTATCAGTATGTGTGTCACATCAGTGCTGGTAAATAAAACAATCATTATAGTAAATCATTCCCGTGTAGTAATGTATCACGTATTACAGTAGTTTCAGTCAAGAGCAGTTCTAAGTGCACAGGGAAATATCATAGCATCACAGTGACTGTTAACAGATAAACATGTATGGAAAGAGGCATTTTCTAAAAGTCTTCTCCCCCTACACCAGGGAAAGTAAGAAAACATTTCTATAATAAATTATTAAAATTCTAACAGCACAAAAGTTGTGCTTAATACAGGCTAAAAAAGTAGCTATATTAATTTGTAATAAAACGGATACTGCCTGAAGTCAGGGAATCTTCTGAGGAACTCTTACCTTTGGTTTTCTTAGCCTTTCTAGTGTTATTTACAGCTAATTCTTCTATCCGCATTTTTCTTTTACTGCTCTACTTCTCTGCCAGACAATCTTAGACTGCTGCTTTGAACTTGGGCCACCTCAGATCATGGGGTGGATTGATTTCCAGTACATTAACTGATTCTTATTTTATGTTATGAAAGGGTTCCTCTCTCATGGCATGCCATTCCTTTCCATTAGAATCCCACTGAAGCAAGATTTCTCTGTCCACCAAATGCCTCCTAAATTAGACTACTCCCATGCTTACAAATTTAATGACTTTCAAAGGTTTGCCTTGCAATGATTTAGTTTCTTAGTTTATTGAAAAAGAATGATGAGTAAATAGCATCATTATATGACACAATACATAACAATATGGAAAATATCTAAAATTATTAAATATTATTAGCAAGTTTAAGCTGAAACTTTAATGTGCCTTGATAGCCCTTAATATTTTGGTCAGTACTCTGTATGGAAGAAATTATTTTAAAGTGCAAGTACCCCTCTCCCCTCACCTTCCCCCATATATGTTTTACTGGTGTGCTGCCAACTTCTCTTAGCAGGGATTAGTCGGTTAGGAATAGTGCTCAGTATACAGTAAAACAAATATAGTTTCAGGAACCATAATAATCATTATGGTGTAAAAGTTTGCTGGTAACAGACTAAGGTCCATGCAGTGACAGCATAGCAAATTTTCTTTTGCATCTTAGAAATGTAGCTGCAGTTTCTGCAGTTCTGTTCCTGTTCTCCCTTTATCCACTGTTTCATGTTGTCAGTATGCTGGCAAACTCTTTGGGGTTTCAGATGGAGCCTTGCCAAGTAAGTTGAAAAGAATTCCATTTATTGTTTTTATGGCATACCTTCCTTAAATGTAATGGATCCGTGAAACTATTCATTTCACTTCAGTGTAGCTGGCTTTTATTTTCTATTACCGCAATTATGTTGCAGACAGTTTCTAAGCCATTTCTTCTTTGTTTTCTTCCAGGCAGAAGAAAAGGCACATTCAGAGGTAAAAACTTTTCTTTGTTTCTATAGTTGTGTATTGTATTATATTATTTTAAAGTTTATTGTTTATCTGCTGTGGTTAAACTGTTGAGTCACTGGGGAAAAGAAACCCTATGTCTTTGTACCACTTTTTGAGAAGAATTGGTAAAGAACCGATGCAGCTTCTAGTGCACTGAAGGTGTTTTCTTAGCATTGTGCTGAAGAATGCCTCCTGGCTGAGGTTCTGAAAAGGTGAAAAGAATCGATGAGAATTGGGCTGCTGAGTGGAAGAGTTGTGATACATCTGATTTCAGACTTAATACCACTCTGGACTAGATCTAAGGGACTGTGCAATTTTAGGTAATGTGCTGCCTTTCAGGAGAAAAATACTTCAAATGTTCACTTTGAACTTCTCTCTCTTACATTTTGCATTATTAAATTTCTGAAACTGACCACTTTGATGGATTTCAGAGCAACGCATATTGATTTCAGATATAAATCAAATCTGACGTGGAAAACAGCTTCTTTCTCCTCACAGTGTATAAGAATGGGTGACAAGCCCGGGTCAGCAGCTGGATACAATTACAGTCTTTCTCAAAATGAAGTCCTGGTTGTATTAAAAGGGCATCAAGGAGTAGCAGCAATAAAATGTAGCACCAAGGGGTGCGCTTCAACTTCACAGAGCCACATGCCTGTGTTTATGCTGCTCCTATTTTTACTATTCTAATCAGAGAAAAAGTCAACTCAAAGATATTTTGAGGAAGTTGAACAAATAAACATATTCTTCCTTACTTGCTGCAGCATATTTCAATATAATTTCTACTTGAATTTTCTAAGCTCCTTTTTCTGAAAGTTAAAGTAAAGGAGCTGAAGAAGCATGTCATAGCTCAGTAGTGTAAAAGACAATTCCTCATTTCATTGCCTTTATACAGGGCTGTATATAGTGGTGAAACAACATGTCTTTCCTGTGCATTTCTACGTGGTGTTTCCTCAGTACTTAGGTCTGCTCTATGATGCTCTTGCAGAAGGTGCTGAACAGCACTTCATGAGAACTGCCTTTGTATACTTGCAGGAATGTGATGAAAGTGTAGCTTAAGCAGGAAGGTGAAATAATTGATATTGAAAACCAAACAGAAAACTTGGAAAAAGAAAAGTGGCAGTCCAGGATGGAGAACAGCTCGATAATGTTTCCTCTGCTCTGAGCTAGTGTAAATGACCTAGCTATTTTTGTATCATAGATGTACAGGAACTTGTTAATTCTTAAAGCTTGTGCAATATTCCCTGTAGGTTTTCATGGGAATCATAAAATTAAAGTACGGCAATAGTCTTTACTAGTGAATGTTATGTGCTCCCTTTCCCAGGATAGTTTTAGACATTTTACTTCTCTAGTCTGGAATAACTTCTTTTATGTGTGAGTATGAAAGGGGTTTCAAAGTGCTGTGCTTACGTTCAGTGCAATGCCTGGAGTCCCTGTAAGATCTCAAATAGGGTTAAAAGAGCTTAAAATGATGCACGACCTTCATGTTAGACATCTATCCTGATTCTGTTTTTCATTAAAGGATACAGGAGCCTTGAATTAAGTATATTTTCATGTCAACAGTCGCATTTAAAGCAACATGTTTTTAAGCTGGCCAGCAAGTTTTTGAAAGATATAGAAGGTTTGAAGAGGCTGCATGTTTGAATCTCTGGGACTATAGGAAGTATTGTGTTAGAGACAAAAAATCTTACTGTGCCTCAGCTAACTTTAGACATCCATGAAGCAAAAATCTGTGTCTGAGGTAGTCATCGAAGCCTTCTTCATGCCAGGCAGCAGGGGAGTACTTTTTGGCACTTCGTCTGAATCTAATGTAGACATTTAACATATGTTGGTTGCATCATGTCTACAGTCAGGCAAAGTGAACCTCCCTCAAATTCTTTCATGTTTCATAATCTCAGATCTCATCCAGGGCTGCTATCCTTGACTGCACTAAAGATATGTTTGGAACTTATGGGATTTGATTAAAAAACATGACATTTATATGTACAAACAGGGGATTGTACATATGAAGTAATTAAGCATTTGCCCATATGTGCTCCTTTAACTGGGATCCTAGCTCATGCACTGGTTAAGTTCAAGAAAAGAGTTGGAGCAGCACTAAGTGCAAACTTCTAAGAATTTGTATTTCTGAATAGTTCTGAGATTAAAATGTGAAACTACGATATTGTAAACCTATTAGAGATCCCATAAGAAAACAAACAACAAAAAAAAACACAACAGAAGCAAATTGCTGAAATGCTGACAGCAGTCTTTTTTTTTTTTTAATCTAGCAAATTCAAAAACTACGGAGAGGGGTTGTTTGCATCCCAAGAGAAAGTTGCTACCCTTACACTCAGCTTTCAGCACTCAGATCTCATCCAGGGCTGCTATCCTTGACTGCACTAAAGATATGTTTGGAACTTATGGGATTTGATTAAAAAACATGACATTTATATGTACAAACAGGGGATTGTACATATGAAGTAATTAAGCATTTGCCCATATGTGCTCCTTTAACTGGGATCCTAGCTCATGCACTGGTTAAGTTCAAGAAAAGAGTTGGAGCAGCACTAAGTGCAAACTTCTAAGAATTTGTATTTCTGAATAGTTCTGAGATTAAAATGTGAAACTACGATATTGTAAACCTATTAGAGATCCCATAAGAAAACAAACAACAAAAAAAAACACAACAGAAGCAAATTGCTGAAATGCTGACAGCAGTCTTTTTTTTTTTTTAATCTAGCAAATTCAGAAACTACGGAGAGAGCTGGTTGCATCCCAAGAGAAAGTTGCTACCCTTACATCTCAGCTTTCAGCAAATGTAAGTATTTTTGCTTGTGATCATAAACAGTATCAGAGAATACATTATCAGATGGGCTACCAGCCCTTACTTAATTCAAGTACCAACACGTGATCTGGGAGACTCTTACTATTTATTTATTTTGGTGTTTTTCAAATTAGTTATTTCATTAAGTGTCTGTATTGTCTCAGCTTCAAGCAGAAGAAGTAATCAAACACAGTGGAAATAGAAATGAGAGTTTCCACACTTGGGACGTGACAACAGTCCTATCCATTTCAGTTCCACTCTCTTCAGAATCAATTAAAAAAAGGCCCAAAAGTAAAGAGACACAACCAAAGAAAGGGCATGAATTGTAGATTCTGATAGAATTCATTATAATTTCATTTCACAAAGATAAGTCCTGCAAAATACAGATAGACGTGGAGAGAAGAACAGTATACAATTCTATATAGAATTCATATGCTGCAATAATTGTGCTGATATATAACTAATGGAAACTGGGCTATTTCACAGAGAGGTCCCTGGTGTTCCTTCCAATTGTCATACACTGGTAATATGAGTTATTGAATATGTTATCAGAAAATAATGCCAGACAGGGAATGTGAGCTACAATCCTGTCTGGTTACTATGGTTTCAGATGAAGTTACCGGACAGTTACTGAACAATCTGTTGTATAGTGATTTTTAAATGCAATTCAGGAGATAACTGCAGTTGCCATTCCCAAGGAAAGCTGAGATGCAGTTGCAAGAGAGTATCATTTTGCATTTCAAGAAAGCAGCTTCCTGATGTCTTGGGCAACCTAGAGTGTGCCTTTCTTCAAAATGTAGATGTACTGAGTATTTAGATCTATAAATAGTGTCATTATTTTCAAGAATTTATTTCAGTTGTTGAAGTAGTACTATGTTCATGTTGTGGGAAAATAATCTCTAGCTGTATGAAAGCTACTTGTTCTCTTAAGACTACCACACAAATGTAGAAGAGCTAGTCTTAGCACTTTCTGCTCTGTTGAGGTGGCTGCAGAAAACCTGTGGGTGTTTGTACCTCTGTAGCAGTATGGGTTGCCAGTCTGTCCTGAGTTCTGAGAACAAACTAGTGAAGCAGACAATAATGGAGTCCTGCAATGTTCGTAAATTCAAAAGCTAGATTCTGGGTTGGGTTATTCATTTGGGAATTTATGCCTATCCTCGGTATGCGGTTCCATCTGTCATGTATTTTAGACACTAATCTTCTTTGCCACAGTGGGCAATTCTTTACTCACACATTCTGAGAGCAGCAAACTAAAACCAACACCAAGAGTTCAGAAGAGCTAAGCCAGCATGCCTCGGGTAGTCGTGTTTGCTAACAAGTCTGTTGTTCTCTGCAGGGCACTTTTCTTTCCACCAAAATCGCAGTGTTGCAGCAGCTCTGCCTTGTGGTGGGGCGCACAGGGAGGTGGGCTGTGGCTGGGCTTGCGACACAACCCCCCCCACAGACACCCCCCCAGCCACTCTGAGTGCCCTGCTAATGCCCACGCAGCAGCAGCTGGTGTTATCCAGAAGAGTTAACTTGATTCCTGCAAGTGCCTGACCTAGTGAAAGATGTCCCTGCCCACAGTCAGGGGGTTGGACTAGATGATCTTTAAAAGTCCCTCCCAAACCAAAGCATTCTGTGATTCTGAGCAGTGGTGCCACATCAGTAAGACTAAATTGTTTGCCTGTGGTGGACCTGTGCTGGTGGAGTTCTGAGCCCCTCTGATGAGGATAACTCTGGCTCTTGGTACCATGCCCCACTTTACTCTCTGGGCAGAAAAGCAGTTTGCCCTTCTCTCCTTCCACTAGTACCAGTGTATTCTTTCTTGCTGATGTGTCGAAAGATTACTCTCTTTAGTCTCCATCCTTTTCCAGTCACACCATCAATGCTGTAGCCTATAATACAGTAACAAGGGCAATAGAGTGAGGATGGCAAAGCATCCTCCCCAGCAACTGAAGCAATGAGGCCACTGTTCGGTTCATTTGGCCCAATTGCATCCAGTTTCTCCCCAGTGTTAGTTAGAAGTCATTGCCTGTATCTCTGGTCAGTATTCCTTTCTGTGGAGTAAACACCATTCAGACGGGTGTCTAATAACATTACCTATTCCAGACAAGTTTTCAAAGTCAGCTCCAAGTTACAATTAAATTTGGTCCATCTAGATTTGGTCAAAGAAACTGAGTCAAGCTAAAAATGGATAGTTACATTTTGGCCTGGTTTTCACTCAAACTCTGCTGCACAGGTGAGAAATAAGTTGGATTCAATCTGATTAACTCACGCTGTGTTGGTTGGGGATCTGGTCCCATACACTGCCTCTGGACTTCTGAACACCTGGGAAGAATACTCATAGCTTTTCTACTAATCTAATTGGAGGGGTAACATTTTCCAGAAGTACCAAGTTTTTAAACCTGTATGTGCTTGTATGCATATATATATATATATATGTGCACGCACACCGTGTGTTGTATAAAGGTTAATTTGATCACTTTCTTTTGACTGTGTCACCCGCCTTCTAATCCATCTCTATGGAGACAGTCTTTAAACTCTAAACCTATAAGCAATCCTAAAGCTGATCCTTTTAGCACATGGGGTTTTTAAATGGCACCACAGAAATCTTTCCTTTTTCCAAATCCCCAACATGTGGAATTTCCCTCAAAATTAAACTTGTCAGGAGCATGAAACTTAGAGGCTTCAAATTCTCCAGGCATTAACAAGAGCTTTAGACACCTTCATGATAAAAACAATCTTAAAAGAAAAGTAGATATTACTAGTTATTATAAGTAAATATTTTTTTGGATGCTGTGATGAGAGATATACTTTACAAAACCAAAAAATGAAAAGTATTTCACAATAAGCCTGGTTCTGAGTTCTTTTTCTGCTATTTCTGGTACAGAAGACGTAAATCATTAAAAAAAAAAAGCATTTCCATATTAATCCAAAGGATCAAAAGAGACCCCTTAAAGATGTGTTAGTACTAATTCTGTGTAAGCACTTTATGTAAGTAAATTCTACAAAGCATCACTTAAACATCAGGAATAAAATCCAGCTTGAAAACAGAGTGTATATACAAATATTTTAATTGTGATATGGCCTCTGAAATTTAGGCTAATTACAGAATTGATATTTAAATGCCAGTGATTATACACTTTTCATAAAAATTATGAGTGTAACTAACAAATACTTTATTTGATTTGACAAACTTATGACAGACCCAGATGGGCTTTTAATTTTCATGAACTTGTACTGTCTTAGTAATGTTTTGCTTGTGTGTATTTGTTTATCATTTATCTCCTAATCTAAGAGACATATTTCACCAGCCCCTGGCATTTAAAGGAAAAATAGTCCTAATCACAAAAGCTGGAATTTTTCCTCAGAAAAGAAATCAAAACCATGTTTTACTCTCTAAACGGATAATACTACTGTGACCCTCATTTTGAGTCACATTTGCACTCCGGTAGGCTAAAACCTAAATGAGCAATAAGCCTAATGCAGAAAAAAGTTTGGTAACTCTGCCCATCTTTTCTGTAGTTACATCCATCTCTGGCAGGCAGAGGACTGTATGACCAGAGTATCTTCTGCAGTGCCTTTGCTGACCAGAAAATTACTCAGTCATTTCTGATGCCTTTGCTATAAATGCAATCGTCTTAGCCTTAGTCCTACGCTCCCCCAAATTTTCGTACTTTCAGTGTCTGAAAATGGGCGGCACTTTTTTCCTCACTATAGTCTAGAGAAGGAAACTATTAATAGCCAGAAATCTTCTTCCCTCCCAGTTCATCTCAGGCTTGAATTTGTTGTTACCATCTCCCTTTGTAGAACTGAGCAAAATTATTGTATGTGAGTGAAAAAAAGAGCATCTTGTTCATCTCATTTCAACAATATTTGTGTCTTTCTTTGCTTCACCACCAAAGACTGTTGCTGACAGTAGTACATGTGTCATTAGAAGACTGACAGGCTGAAATTTGACCTATTTTGTCAAACCTTTGCTTGATATTTTATTTTATATCAAAATCTGTCAATTGGAAGTTATAGCATTTCACAGGCATTTTGGAAACCTCTGCTAAGACTTTTCTTATTTGGTTTCATTTATTATTCAGATTTTGTTGGCTGGACTCAAGTACTGTGCTTGATTTCAGCAGTTTATTTCATTTGATTAACCCCAAAGTGTTTCACCTGCATATGATTAAATTCAAGCAGGGCCCAGCTGTTTGGATGCTTAATTTACAGTTTTTTTCTGAGATTCTGGCTTTTCCTCTGGTGCCTGGTTCGATGTTGCTGAAGGACAAATCTCAATACTAATTAAGAAAGGGCCTGTTTTCAGTGCAGAAAGTGTCCAACCAGCAGACTTCCTACGTGACTGACAAGGGCTCAAATTCCAGTGAGCAGCCTGAACCCAGCGTGTTCGGAGGGACTTTGATCAGTGCTTTGTACTGTATAAAGCTGAAGGGTGCATGCTTGCAAACTGTAGTAGACCCAGGATGCCAGTAGAAAGCGGAGGGGGTTCGCTGGCTAATACTCTTGTTTGGCCAGCTCTGAACCACTATCCTACAGCCAAACAACAAGACAATAGCAGGCGGCGAACAGAAAAGGTCACCAGATGTACAGTTGCTTCTTGCAATCAGCCCGATCCCTTCTGGCCTCTCACACCTCCTTTCATTCAGCCATGTCAGGTGGGAGGAAATTTATTTATTTACCTTTGTTTTATAAACCTGAACACCGCAGGTCAGATCGCAAAGTGTGTCAGCAGACAGTCTTTGGATATGCCAATGTCATGTTCAGGATGGGCTGTAAACCTAAAAGCTGAGGTATTTGGGGTTTGGCTGGCTGGGATAATTTACTAAGAAGGAAATGTTTAAAATCAAACCTGTCATCTTAGCACTGAAGTCATTCCCTGAGCATATATCTCTTTGACTATTTCCAATGGGAATTTCGCATATTAATAGAAGTCAAAATTAATCCATATGTGATGGATCTACAGATTAAGAGCTGTACATCATCTGTGTATCTAATATGTATATCATGTCAAAGATGGATATATTTTGCTATAGGCATACTTCCATCAATGCCCAGTTACTTAACTGTAATTCCAGTATATCTATTTCCAAGTACAAATGCTACATTCAATTGTGAAGATATATTTTTACTCTAGAGTAAGTGTTATTTAAAGCGCATGCAGCATTCAGGCATTTTGTATGGTATTCAAATGATGCATGTGATGAATGAAACTACTGAATCTAACACAGAGATTTCTAAGGTCTGAGGGATTGGCTGTAACTTTAAAAAAAATTCTATTCGTAAATATTTTTACAAGAATGAAAGAATGGATCCTTTTGGATAAAGTAAATAATCCTCAAAAACTGAGGATTATCAATCCAATCAAAATCAATTACCAATTTCATAAGTGTAAAATAAGTTTCTAATTAGAACTTTTAATTTCTTATGAGCATTTTTAAAGTCACAGTTACTTCTTTCTACTTGTTTCAATTGCTTTCTTTTCTGAATTATTTTGCATTTAACTATCTAAATGCAGTCTGATCTTAAATGGGAATATATACATACATATGTTTTATGCATAATTCCACATGCATATAAATATACTGATAACCTAGCCTTTTTCAAACTAACTTTTCTTATTTTGTTACATAGTATTTCTTTTGGGACAAATCTGCATAAGATTTCAAGAAGTAGGAGTTCCCTAGATGGCTGAATAAATAAACATTTGCTACCATGGGGAGAGGAAGCACAGTTTATTACTCTGAATGTAAAATTAATACTTTGTATTTCATAGAAGAGTATTCTGTTGTAATAAACACTTAAAGTAATGAACAACGTGATTGAAGGTTTTTTCTCGAATAGTTTTTGTTTGATGGGCCTTTGAATTATGTTTCTTTGTTATTAGCAAATCAAGACCTGATAGTCTTTATCTCAAATGAGTTAGGAAGGATCCGTCATCTTGATCCAATTACATTTATGATGCAAAAATTTTAGTGTGCTGCTCCAAGACGGTAATGTACTCTATCACAGGCTGAATTTTAGTAAGAATCCATAGCTGTGACATGGCTGTCTTTCTCTAAAGACTATCAGACAATAACTTAATAGTTTCAGTGACCTTTGATGACATTTATAATGATCTTTATAGTTCTTAATTTTTCTTATGAGTTCCTTAATTTTTCCTATAAAAGTTCCTTGTGGTTTATTCATGTATGATATAAGCTGAAGTTGTAGCTATGGAATAGGAAAATAGTTTGCGTAAATATGCACAGTTAGGTACCAAAGAACTGTGGTTATTACAGTCTAATTGTGAGAAATGGACAAAAGCAATGCATAATTAAGCAAATGATTCCTCTTTTCAAGCCCTCAGTCCCCATTGTTATTCTCATGTTAAAGCAGAACCACGGGCCATCAGCCAAGCCATAGATTTTTTTATGAGGCAGGGAACAGAGAGCTCCATTAGGTTCCTGTTAAACACATGTAATGAAGAGACATTTGGCTATAATTCTGTGGTAGTGCATCTACTTTGCCTCTGATTGTGTCTGGGTCAGTGGTCATCATCTTTGGAATTAAAATACCACAAATTAGCCTGGATATTTTTAACATGTAGCTAATTATTAAAGTGAACAGTAAGTTTAAAAACTAGTTAGTTTTGTCTTCTCAGAGGAATAGAGCAGTGAAAACAACTGAAGGTTCTAGTTTCCAAACTAGCTAGAATAACTTTATATCAATTGACAGGTTTCAGAGGTGCATTTGAAACGTATTCCAAGTTCATTTTATTTAAACTTATAACTTCAAGAATATAGCCTGTTATAAATGTTACAATAGGAATATACACAATTACTAATTAATCTTTAAGAAATTGCATATGTGTCTAGTTCCATGTTTATCAAAAGTTAGTCCTTGGGGTACGTACCCTTTACCAAAAGAATTATCCCTAAGGCATCTCTGGAGCTGCAGAAAGCAGGTGGATTGACCATTATCCCCATAAGTACCTAACTAAATTATTTGGTAATAATATCATTTACAAGAAGTAAACTTGTAATAAGTTTGATAAGTATAAAATAAGGAGTTTACAAGATACTGAAATGTTTATAGCAATCTGAAATTATTTACAAAACACAAAAGCCACTTATCAGTATAACAGCTCTGAAGTGGAGGCACAAAAGTGGGCCACTATTATATATATTATAATCTTTTTTTATTTGTGGAATAATACACAGAGCAAGGTGGAAAGAAGGTCTTTTCCTTCTCCTAAAGTGCGTAGCAGAATCCCTTTTGGACTATGTCTTTTTCTGATTATACCTCAGATTCAGTACAATCACATACATTTGAACAATTTCAATTATGCTTGTACAAGCATGCAAATCTGTAATGGAAAAATTTGGCAGGCACTGTGTGTGCCTGTACTGCTATAATAAAAAATAAATTTTCTCAGTGAGGAAGCTCAGTTAATCCATTTGTGCATATAAATACGTTGTTTGTGAGCTATATTTCCCAGTGTACCGTAGTGCCTATGTTTTATATATGCCTTATATTTTATATAAGTTTTTTATTACTTTTATACACATATATATAATCAATATAGGATGAATAGACTAAGTAATGACCTTTTATAAAACTAACTGTGATATTTTTTGTTTGGTTCTCAGGATTCCTCTGAAGTGTTTTATTTGTGAGGTTAAAACTTACCTTTTAAGATAAAAAGTACTTGAATTCCCATGTTGAAGTGTTCAGTAATTGAAAATAATTGTTCCTAGACTTCTATTTGGGAGCAGACATCTTTTGGCCAATATATCAGTAAACTCAAAGCAGGGCATTAAATCCATAATTCATTTCCAGGCAGAGATACCTGAGCTAATCTCCTTGGGGGCTAAAGAAGCCTGAGGAACACTGGGCACACTTGACTGCTTCACCTCTCCAAGTTAGCTCAGCCTGAGTTTAAAACCAACAGAAAAGTGCTGGAAAAGACGAGCTTGGAGGGCAAAAATATTTTTAAAAAACAAATAGATCTGGGAAAATTGTCCCATTGTCACGACAAATGTTGTCTTCTATTTCTTTCACAGGCTCATCTAGTAGCAGCTTTCGAAAAAAGCTTGGGAAATATGACCGGCCGATTGCAAAGTCTAACAATGACAGCTGAACAAAAGGTAAGTTTACCAAAGTAGATGCTTTAATGTGGAAAACAGTCAGCAGGTTATATTAGATTTTTGTTTAAAAAACACTGAAAGGAAACAGGGGCAGCTGTGACAACAAGACAGACAGATCTTTCTTTAATGGCCGTTGCGATCAAATCTTCATAAAGCTCCAGAAGAATGAAACTGCGCAGCATCAAGTTTACACAGACAATATCATAGAATAGTTTGAAGATAAAATCTTTCGTTTCCAGATTTTAATTAAAACATATGCAACTCTAGGTTTAATCCGTACTGAAAGATCCTGTAACAAAAACTGATCATAACCTGCTGGAGTGCTTCATTCCAGCCTGCCGGCATTGTCATAATAATAGAATTATGTGAAGGGAAGAACTTTAAGTAAAGAAAAACTACTCCATTCAGAGAGTTAATGCAGGTTAGGTATCCTATTCATGAGTAAACAGTTTTGGCTTTCACTGTGCTGTTTTGACTATTAGGGAAAAAAATCTAAACCTGATAGGTAGTAAACTTAATGTGAGCCTTTGTACCAAGCTCAGGATTAAGAGGCTGCGTAGCACCTTCCAGGATTGAACCGGTGCAAGTTTCTGCCCTTATTCATTTTGAACAGTATCCTATAAACGGAAAGGCCTCCTTGAGCCAAACTGTGAAAGAAACTGTGTATCAGTAAGCTATTAGTCACCACTGGAGTCAGTGTAGCTGTCTATAAAAATAAAATTTCACAGTCTGGTTGAGCACCAACAAATGAAATGTGGTGAGACTCATTGTGAACAGGATAAAAAATATTTGTATTGCTTGCTTTTTTTCATCTTAAGCAAAAAAACACAACAGAATTTTCTTAAAACCAAAACTTCTGACTATTTTGCAAAAGTATAATTTTCCTCAGAAGGTTTTCTTTCCAGAAGAGGTTAAACAGTGACATTGAAACAGATCATCTCTAAGCTTCTTTCCCAAAAGATTTGGAACATGTTCTTTTCCTTCTCTTCTTCTCTCTATTGTTGAGGCTGAATTCCTTTAATCCTCATTATATAAATACAGGCTGGAAGGACAGGTTTAATGCAGCAGTAATAAAAGCTGTTTTTTAATTAAAATTGGCTGTGCATTCTAATACAGAACTTCCTGCACTCAAGTGGAGTAATTTTACTTCAATTTGCAGAACCGTTGTTATTAAACACGGGTTTTTAAATCAAATTAATATTTAGCAAGTTAAATCTGTTGAATCTCAGTTTGAGATTCATCCATTAAACAGTAGCCTCACATACTAAGGGATATAATTCAATTGGTTTTGTTGTCTTTTGCAGTATCATTGTTGGGTTTCTCTTAACTTTATAATGAATGTTCAGTTGAGCTCCTTTTTAGATTAGTCTTTGTTAAAAAAGTTTTATCCTCCTTAAAAATAGCATGATCACTTTATACAGAATAAATGTGAAAGAATATGTTAGTTGAGTTTAACATCTTTGGAGCGAAAATATGCATTCTACTTAGTTGTTGCCCTAATGTTCACCCAAGCAGTCCCATGAACTTCAATTTGACCACTCTTATCTTGACATTTTTTTTAGCTTAGACAAACATTGTTCCTTGTGCCATATATTTTGAGCTCTCTTTGCTCTTCCCACAGGAATCTGAGCTTATAGAGCTAAGGGAAACCATTGAAATGCTGAAAGCCCAGAATTCTGCTGCACAAGCTGCTATTCAAGGAGCCTTGAATGGTCCCGATCATACCCACAAAGGTATGTTTTTGTCACTATTAAAATAAAAGCAGAGTTTCTCTCCAGAAAATAAAAAAGCTAAGTCACTACTTTTATGTTGTTTTGGGGACTGTGTTGCAAGGGCAAGCACATTCTGCAGCACATGGTAGGCATACTTGTGGTATTTCCAGAGCTGGAAACCTTGCATGAGCTTCCTGTTTGCCAGAGTTCCTGGAGCCTTGTCTTCTCAGAACCGGGTGGCCAGGAATTGATTGCTGAGTGTCAAGAGTTAACCCTGTCGCTGCAGTTGTGTATTGAAGTACACCCAAGAGACTAGTGAAGTCTTATGGTGAAACATGGTTATAGCTTGGAAATCCAGTGTAAGTTGTAGCTCTGAAAATTGGTGTACTCATTGGTAAAAGATGGACTGACAACAGCTCAGCTCCTTTGCAAGGTGCTAAATCAGTGCAGGAAAGCAGGCATTTTAAATTCCAGATTCTGAATTCATTTGTCATTGCAGTTAGGCAGATATCACATGATAAATATATACTTCAAAAGTGCCTGTTGATAAGCAACAACAAAGGAATTACTTGAAGAAAAAAAATAATAGAAGCATTCATTTTTGAGAGTGTCATTGATCTTTCTTTAAAGAGGTCATTATTTAGATGTTTGCCTTAAGGTCATTTCATTGTATGACTTGAGTATAGCAAAGCTAACTTCTAGGACATAAAAAATAATCTAAAAAGTAATTTCCCTTGGTATTAGCGGGTATGTTCTGGAAGAATATTTTCCAGCGATTAAGATATAGTTATCAGAGACTTTTAAGAAATTGAAACTCAAAAGCCTCACCAACCATTTCTAATATTCTCCACTTCTTGGTTATTTTGTTTCATTCATTTTTAATGAACTCCTGCCTGCTTATTTCCATCATGGTATATTAGAAGGTGGCATCTGAATGCTGATTAGGCCTGCTACAAGTGAAGTAATGCCTATAGTCGTCAGAAAAAGAACTGTAGCACATGTGATAGTAATAAGTCAAGTAATCCATCTGTAACAGAAACTGCTTAGCTATGAGGTTATGCCTGCATAGATTGCTGTGCAGGGTCATTGCCTTCATGCCAATAAAACCCTAGTTTGGAGAAGCTCCTAAGTGTTTGCATAATTGTGTGCATCCCCATTGACCCCCACGTGGTTTCTCACAGGCTACAATAGCTTGAATTGAAGCCAGTGCAAGCATCAATGCCATTTATGTTCATTTACACTCCCTTTGAGGAGGAAGATGATACATAAATAAAAGAATGATTATTATATTGAAACAGAGACAAATGGATTTCACAGTAATTTCTTTTCTTTAGATTTACGTATAAGGCGGCAACATTCTTCAGAAAGTGTTTCCAGCATCAACAGCGCTACAAGCCATTCAAGCATTGGCAGTGGTAATGACGCTGACTCCAAGAAAAAGAAAAAGAAAAACTGGGTAAGTGCTCAGCAGGTTTAAACCTATCTTTTAGCTATTATGTTGTTTCCTAGTGCCTGAGTAGCATAATGGTCCATTTCATCTACAATATTCTTGTCGGGCCAGACAGATATGAAGCAATTCACGTGTATCCATACTGTGACACTCCCAGCAAGCTAAAAATTCTTGAATATCATCGGGGAATTATTTGCGTAAGTCAGGATAATTTAAAAACAAACAAACAAACAAACAAACTTAAAAAAGCTGTTGTGACCAAAACCATCTCTGGGCCACATTGAAACCCTGTTTGATTTTTCTTCAGTCAGAGTCTGATTCAAAGGCTTAACTCAAATATGTTACTCAGCTATGAAGGGAGTTGAAATCTGTTAAGAATTCTCAAGTAAAAGTAGTATGGTGTTTAAAGAAATTAAGATGCTTCTCAACTGGAACACACAAATACCACATAGTGCTAAGGGTTTAATCAAATACTTTCAGTAAATAATCGGAAAATATGTTTTTGTTGTTTTAAAAATATTACCTGCATAAACATTTGTTTTAAAATACTGATCAGCCTTCATTCCCTTGATTTGTAATTCCACA